TACAGAAAACTGGCATCTTATCTAGGAGTGAAGTTCATGTTGGATAAAAATCTTACCTCTATCTTCTTTCTCTTACGAGGGCTACATGTAAATACATTTATCACAGTTTCATCTTAGAGAAAACTAAGTTTAACTTACTGTGTCAGTCACACAACTGAAGTAATTGCTGCCCATTGTTACCTAGCTCATGACTGTCATCTAACCAGATTCTTAAGATGCTAAACAAAGCTGAAGTTGGTATGTTTGAGACAAGGTAACAGTGGAAATATGATGGGTTTGGGCGTCAAAACTAGATATGAACTTAACAGGAGGTTAACACTGAAATTCTAAACAGATCACCAAAAGTTAATATGTGAAATGGCATTAAAGCCACAAAGTAGAGTATCTTCAAGGCTGCTATTTTTTAAGCCCTTTAGTGCTATTTCAGCAATTTATTTGGTATGGGTTGTGTCAAATTTCCTGTGCAGGTGGGATAATTAAATCAGATAACAAACTTATTGGTGAAAACTGGCAAGATTAAGTAATATATCAGAAGACCAAGTGGGTTTGATCAACAGCAGTATCCACAAGCAATAATATGTAAGTATAAATAAGGAACAAAAGGATTGTGAAATCTCCAAATGTGCTCTCTTGACCATAAGCCCCAAATAATGACCTTTAAATAACATATTCATGAAATACAATAAAAAGATTGTTGTCAAGAAAACAGGCCTATTATCATACTTGATTTGTCCATCTAACATTTTCCCCGAGACTCTACCATGAGCTACAGCACGTTAAATATTAAAAAGAAATGAGCAAAAGCAAATAGAGTTTCTGCTCTAGTGGAGTTTACAGATTAGATAAACTCTAGATGAGATTAGCCAATCTCAATGTAAAAGATAAGTAGGCATTAACTGTGTAGAAAGGGATGGGACAAAGAAATCTGTTTGGTTAGGGAGGGAGCAAACAGCATCGTAAGCAAAGGTCCTTTTCAGGAAGAAAAAAGAGTAGATCTGAAAGGCTGGTAAAAACACTACTGACTGTCAAGTTACACAAGAGGTGGATTCAGAAGGGACAGTGTACAAGAATAAATGTGGATAAGTGACCACAAGATCAAATTTTAGTTAAATGACAACTTGGGAAGCCATAGAATTATAATTTCTTCTGAATGTATTCTATTCTCCTTGCAACCCTGGAGAGGATTTCCAAGTGTTTCCACTACCGTATGTGCTTGATTGTGGCTTTTTTTTTAAAGATTTATTTATTATGTACACAGTGTTCTGCCTGCGTGTATCCCTGCAGGCCAGAAGAGGGCACCAGATCTCATTACAGATCTGTGGTTGCTGGGAATTAAACTCAGGACCTTTGAAAGAACAGGCTGTGCTCTTAACTGCTGAGCCATCTCTCCACCCCCCTGACCATGACTTCTTAAACAGCCGGGTCATGTAACCAAATGAAATATTTGACAACCATCCAACATACAACAATCATAAATTAAAAATCAAGCGAGTAATGAACTTGTTGTGTGTCTGGAAGTGCTTGCCTATCCTGAGCCGTGTATTCTCAAGGTTGCCTTGGCTCTGAGCACACAGTGTGCACACTTTGTAATAAACTTGTCACGTGTCTGGCAGTGCTTGACTATCCTGGGCCGTGTATTCTCAAGGTTGCCTTGGCTCTGAGCACACAGTGTGCACACTTTGTAATGAGCTTGTCATGTGTCTGGCAGTGCTTGCCTATCCTAGGCTGTGTATTCTCATGGTTGCATTGGCTCTGAGCACACAGTGTGCACACTTTGTAATAAACTTGTCATGTGTCTGGCAGTGCTTGACTATCCTGGGCCGTGTATTCTCATGGTTGCATTGGCTCTGAGCACACAGTGTGCACACTTTGTAATAAACTTGTCATGTGTCTGGCAGTGCTTGACTATCCTGGGCCGTGTATTCTCATGGTTGCATTGGCTCTGAGCACACAGTGTGCACACTTTGTAATGAGCTTGTCCTGTGTCTGGCTTGCCTATCCTGGGCTGTATGTTCTCACGGTTGCCTTGGCTCTGAGCACACACCATGCACATACTACGCACTCTACACGCCATCTACACTCGACACCTTAGCTCAGGTTGGAGATTGCAGGTTACTAATTGCAGTGTCTCTACTGTATGTGCACATTTTTCTGCTTCTTATAGAAACATAGAGGTTTAATTATACAAAATAACCCAATGATTTTTAATATTTTCCTACTGTCACCCCTTAGCATGTATCAAGTAAGTATAACTTGGGGTTGTACCATGTCACAATGTTTGACTTCTAAAATTGATGTTTCAGTTGCTGACTTTAATCTCATTTTTAAAAAGCAATTAAATGAATTTCACCCTGGGATTAGGATAAAATTTCCAACAATTGCTGAAACACTACAGACAGATATAAAGATGTGCCCTGTTAACCATCAATAAAAGCAGCCTAATTGGTTTTTCTTCTTCTCAATGTTTCTTGCCAAAAAACCTGAAGAATTATTTATTCTGAAAACTGTGTAACTTAAACATGATATAGTTATTGATGTTGATTGTTCTAAAGAAATATTCCTGTGGAATTTACTGCATCCTTTTTATCCACTTTTCATTGTTTTGTATCATTTTGTTTGTCCTTGCGTACTCTGTGTTCTCTATTGCAGGGATATCTACTAATCTTAAGCTGAGCCATTGTGCTCCCCCATGAATATAATTTTTGATAAGTTCAAAATTTTTCACCTTTCCCTCAGAATTCTTTGTGACTACTCAAAGCCTTTTCTCTATATCAGTAATTTGACTTCATTCCTCTAGTCTGCTTTTTCCATGATTTTAAAACCTGTCCATTAATTCTTAAAGGTGTTTTTCTCTTTAATTGGTTTCCTTATTTCTTTTATCTCAAATTGGGTTATATTTTTCAATACATTGTTCTAGTATCTTGTACTGTGTTCATCATATTCTTCCATTGCTCCACAGTGCAAAGAACTTATGTAAATTCTCCTTCCTCCTTCTTAGGTTAGATTCTAGCTCATATCATGTGCCTCATCCATCTTAACACGTCCTCTTCCTTCCTTCCTCCTTCCCCATTCCCCTCCCTTTCCTTCTTTTTATAACACCCATCTACATGACTATCGCTGACTTTTTCTTTTGCTGATACTCACCATGTAAAATCTTCTTGAATCTATTTCTTCCATGTATTAATCAGTTATTACCCCAATACAATTACGCCCCCAAATCTCAATGACTTCATAACAAAAAAAAAAAAATTCTTGCTTGTAAGACTGCAGACAACCTGCCATTAAGCTCTTTCCATCTTGGCTAACCTATGTGCCTGCCCTAAGTTCCTGGTGTGGCTGGTGTGGAAGGTTCTAGCTCACCTGACTATTAAGCAGACACATCTGTCTCCCTCCAGATTGAAGTTACTGGCGAAGCTCGTAAGGATGCTCTTACAGCTCCTGCTGTTGCACGACTTCTGGAGAATGACGGGAAGTACAGCACTGGCGAGTTCTACAAAGGCCAGAACACAGGAGTTGACACTTGAATCCCAGCACAACTTAAGTATCTGTCTGGGTTTCGCAAATTTTGGAAGCCCCAGATTTGAGGATTTCAACCTTAAGACCCAAAGTGTCTGATTGTACCTTTACCACAGACTGTGTGCTCCCCAATAAGCAGGTAAAAGTATCCAGCAACTTCACATTTTTCTTGACTAAACTGTGCCCCTTAATTACGAGAGATGTAAGAATAAAAGTGTAAAACATCCAAACAAAATATGAACGTACAAACTAGCCACTACAACTTCAAACTTCTCATCTTTCAAAAATGTGTAATAACAAACTATTATTTATCTTAGTGGCAAAATAAAGTGTTTGAGCCAATCAAATGTTGTGGCTCATATCACAACACATTAATAGCAAGTATAACTTATATTTTATTAAATCAAGACTAAAGGTTTTGTAGTTTGTGGAAAAGTATTAATTTCATTAAGGTAGCAGAGTTCCTGCGGATTTGTGTGTGTGTATGGAAGCAAGATGTGAACGTGGAATGCTCTCCTTAATCATTCATTTTGCCTTTTTTTTTTTAAAGACACTGTTTCCAGCTGAACCTGGAGCTCACAGGTTAAGCTACACTACAGGGATCCTCCCTCCTCCACCCTTCCAAACCCAGGATTATAGGCTCCCGGTTTCTTTGTGAGTGATGTGGATCTGCACTTAGGTCCCCACACTTACTGACTGAGCCATCTCTCCGGCCTAAATTCTTGATTTAGTTAAGTGAAATCTTATTTAATTTAGTCAGTAAAAATTCAGTTTCTGGAAATAACTGATTTTTTTTTTCAAACTTTGCCATCCCCCCCCATTTTTTTTTAAATCCCGTCTATGGCGTACATACATCAAATGCCGTAACTTTGAACCCATCTATTTTATCTTACACCCTTGTCCACTGCCCTCCTTGTCAGTGCCCCATAATATTTTAGGTCATGTCTTTGGAGTACAGCGTCCGAGTGTTCAACTACACTGTCAGCTGTCCTGAGAAGCTGGATTTGTGTCTTCATTGCTTTTGAATTCTCCAGAAACCTTAAAAGTGAGTTTTAGGTTGGCCTTTGAAAGCTGTGCCATTGGGTCAGGTGTACCTAGCTCCGGGTGTTCTTGGAAAAGCCTATTGGTCTGGGGTTTCTCTGCGCTCCGTGACATTCGTTTTCTGTTAGATAACGACACTAGGGTAACGTCCCGAGGAATCCGACCCCCGGCCCTGGCTGTTAAGACTGTGCGCCTCTCCTAGCCCGGGATCGGTTTGAAAGACCCTTCTTTAAAATGCCACTCCGAAACCTAGTTACCCGTCCGTTACCAGGGCCTCCGGTTCTGCAGATGCCCAAAGATGTTGACAAGGCAGCTAGGATTTACCTGCCGGAGGCCCAGTCGCTATGGAAACAGCTAGTCGCAAATGCGCTTGCGCAGAAACCCCGCGACGCGATGAAACGGTCTTAACGACAGTAGCTACTTGCGGCGGTGACGTGACTTACGGCCGCCCGTCGTAGCGCGTCTTTCGGCTCGAATGCCGGGGCGGGAGTCCGAGCGGGAACGCTCCCGTTGCTTGTCCGCGGGCCGGAATGACCCAGTCGGTGGTCGTACAGGGTGAGCGGCCCCCTTGTCCCCCGGGTCGCCGCGGAGCCCAGGCACCTGCTTGTCTTCCTAACGTGCTTCTCTCTCTTCCTCGCAGTCGGGCAGTGCGGAAACCAGATCGGCTGCTGCTTCTGGGACCTGGCGCTGAGGGAGCACGCGGCGGTCAACCAGGTACGCGCTGAGCCCCCCACCTGTCACCCGGGCCCGCCAGCGGAGAAGAAGGGGGTCACTTGAGGCTCTCGCTACGGGGTCCCGACTGAGCTGGGACTCGCTGTGTAGACCATGCTGATCTCATTTGAGCGATTTTATCTATGCCATAAATTGCCTTTATGTCTTTATCATAAGTTGCATAGGATCTTCTCATGCTGAACGTAGCTAGTTTGATTTTTAAACCCATGTTGCTGTAAGTCACAGGCAGAAGACACTGGCCAAAGAGTTTGGTCTTGGGTGTCCCTAATTCTCAGCGGTCTTCCTTTTTTTTTTTTAACGTTTTTGAAAGGCAGTAGGCTCTATAGGTGAAAGCGCTATAAAGTAGATAACGTATCAGACGATCTAGTATCCCAGGAAATTCTCACTTGGTGTACCAGCTGTACAGTCCTATAGGGCATACGTTTTTCATCACTCTCTCAAATTTAACCAGGTGTTCTATTGGTATCTTACTCTTTAGACGCAATTGGAAGAACCGACCTGGGTTTCTTTTTCTAAGAGCTGCCTGGTGGCCCTTTCAGCGCTGTAGAATTACTAAAATTGGAAGGATTTAGGAGAAAATAAACTTAAATGCTTTATTTGCTTTGTGTTTAGAAAGGAATTTATGACGATGCACTCAGCAGTTTCTTCAGGAACGTGGATACCAGGTAAGGGGATGAGAGTTTTTCCCTGCATTGACATTGATTCCTTCCTGTTATGTCAGCAGAGTGGAAGGCTTGCTTACGGGGTTCTGGAAGCAGTCCCCTGCTGTGATGGTGTCAGCCATGTCTGCTGATGTGACTGAAGATCATTCTCATGTCACGTTTTCATACCTGCCGAGCAGCAGGCTTCCTTGACAGGAAGGAACAAAAGGAGCCTTTAAAGAGATTGCATTAACTTTGGAATGATATTTCAGTCAGAGAAACCTCAGCTTTTCACTGAGGGTACCATGTCATGGGTCGGTTTTTATTGACTATTTGACCTTAGAACAGAGTTTCTCAACCCATGGATTGAGACCCCTCAGGGTCCAACAACCCTTTCATGGGGGTCACATGAAGAAGAGCTGCTACAGGGAGGGGTTAGAGCAGTTCACTTACTAGAGGCCCTCAATATCCTCATCACGTGTTCGCAGATGTGTCTGGGTAATAGTCCTTTCACGTGCTTCTCTCACTAGCTCACTGCTACGCCTTCCTTTCTTGATAGTCGCGTCTTCAGTTATTACATAATTGAATAGAACTAGATAGGCCATGCGAGAGGACTAAGAGAGAGACAGAGGTGGGGGCAGAAGGTCAATATGTGACATGAAAGCAGGAAGGAAGCTTTGGGGAAAGAAACAAAAGCAGAAATGTTTGAAAAATGATATAATGAAACCAAATTCTTTGCAAGTTAATAAAATAAAATTTATCACATATTTGACAGTCTGAGGATTTTCATGTAATTCTCATCTACCTTGTGGGTCATATACTTTTAAATGAAAGCAGTGTATTTCCTCAGTCTAGAGTTTGGAGAGGAGGGGAAGGCCTGGACATCTCTCTCCTGTGCTGTGGGTTCCAGCCTCTGTTCCACAGGTGTGGTACCCAAAACCTCTTATGCAAACTGCTACTACCACATCTTTGTATACACCTGCCTATCAAATTAATCCTTTTTAACAACATGATAGGAATATACCAACAGTGGAGGCATGAAAAAACAGATAGCAAATACTTGGACACTTTTCATAACATAAGGTCTTTTTGCAGGTATTCATCTGCTTCATGGGTAATAGGCACATGAACAGATAGAGATGGCTGGATTTAAACAAAATTCTCTTTAGCAAAGCGGGCAGGTGATTGGCGTTGACCTGGGGATTACAGTTCACTTACTGCTGGCCTGTCGTACCTGTGTTTAATCGGCTCCTCATCTGGTCTCCGTCTTGTGAATTATAATGACCTGTACGCTATGCTCATTCACAGGTTGTAGTAAAATTCTAGAAATGGACTGAGTGGTATGTAGTCTTATATCATTTGATGTGTTGGCCGTAACAAAATAGCTAATTAACAGTAACTTAAACAAGAAAGATACCCACTTATCTCACAAAACTGAAAATGCCTCAAAGACATAGACACTGAGGCTGGCAAGGTGGCGCAGCAGGTCAGGGGCTTGCTGCCAAGCTGAGGACTTGAGTTTGATTCCCCTGGACCAGTATGACAGAAGGGGAGAGTGAAAGCGAACACTACCAGTCCTGGAAAGTCTTATGACCCTTTCTCAATTTCTTTATGTTTCAGAGTGGGTGGTGATGGCAGCAGTATTTCCAAAGGAAGAATATCTTCGTTAAAAGCACGAGTAAGATGCATTTTCTAGGGTTCTTACTTTGTAACATGGCAGTAAAATTTGAGTTAATTGTTTCTCTGTGGTTTGTCTTTCCCTTCTGGTTGTTGGTTAGTAGTCTTTGATTTTAAGAAAAGGAAAGGTTAACCAGGTATTGGTGGTGCACGCCTTTAATCTTACAATAGATTACATGAAGAAATATTTTAATTAACCTTAAATTGTGAAAAAGAACAATATAACTTACAGCTCATGAATTCTTGAATTTATAAATTACTAGAGAAAATACTCCAAATTTAAATTCTCTTTTTTCAGGCAGTTTTGATTGACATGGAAGAGGGAGTAGTTAATGAAATTCTCCAAGGACCACTGAGAGATGTGTTTGACAGCAAGCAACTCATCACTGATATTTCTGGCTCAGGAAACAATTGGTGAGAAAATACTAAATGTCATTTGAAAAAGTTGAGCATTCACTGCCTTGTCCTAATAGGTCCTGCTGTAATGAAAGCAAAGTGCAGTTTGCCACACAAAAGTATATGCCTCCTCTTTTAATAATTAATTAGTTGATGATGATGCTTTATGATGCTCAGAAGCTGCCAGGATTTACTTTCAATCCCACTTCTGCTTTTTTTTTTTTTTAAATAGAAAACTAATCATGAGAAATTGATATCCTAAATTCTTAAATGTTTTAAGTACTTTTAAAAATTATTCATATTCAGCAGCAACACTAATTGCAAAAAGCCCACAAACTCATGGAGACTGAACAATGCTCAAGTGAATTACCACTGGGTCAAGGAAGAAATAAAGAAATTAAACACTTCTAAAATTTATTGAAAATGACCGCATAACATATCCAAACTTATGGTACAGAATGAAAGCAGTGCTAAGAGGAAAGTTCAAGCACTAAATGCCTACATAAAGAAGTTAAAAAAATCCCACACTAGCAAATTTAAAAAGCACCTGAAAGCCCAGAACAAAAAGAAACAAACTAGCCCAGAAGGGCTAGACAACAGGAAATAATCAAACTGAGAGCTGAAATCAACAAAATAGAAACAAAACAATACAAAGAAGCCATGAGACAAAGTGTTGGTTCTTCAAGAAAATCAACAAAATAGACAAACCTTATCCACACTAACCAAAAGGCAGAGAGAAAATGTCCAAATTAATAAAATTAGAAATAAAAAGGGGATATAACAATAGACATTGAGGTAATCCAAAGAATCATCAGATCATACTTCTAAAACCTGTACTCCACAAAATTGGAAAACTTAAAGGAAATGGACAATTTTCTGGAGAAGTATCACATACCAAAACTAAAGACCAGATATGCAAATTAAATAGGCTTATAACTGCTGAGGAAATAGAAACAATCATCAGAAGTCTCCCAACCATAAAAAGCCCAGAACCAGATGTTTTCAGTGCAGAATTCTACCAGATTTTCAATAACATCAAATTGTTCCAAACAACAGAAACAGAAGGAACATTGCCAAACTCCTTTTACAAGGCTACAGTTACCCTGATACTCAAACTACAAAAAGACACAACTAAGAAAGAATTACAGACCAGTCTTTGTAGTGAACATTGATGCAAAAATACTCAATATTGAATTAGGCAAACCAAATCCAAGAACGCATCAAAAAAAATTATCCACCATGATCAGGTAGGCTTCATCCCAGAGATGTGGGGATGCTTCACCATGAAAAATCCATTAATATAATCTACCATGTAAACAAGCTGAAAGAATAAAACCACCTGACCATCTCATTAGATGCTGAAAAAGCCTTTGACAGAATTTAACACCCCTTCATGATAAAGGTCTTGGAAAGAGCAGGGATACAAGGAGCATACCTAAATATAATAAAGGCAGTACACAGCAAGCCAACAGCAACATCAAACGAATGGAGAGAAACTCACAGCCATCCCACTAAAATCAGGAACAAGACAAGGTATGTATTCAAATAGTACTTGATGTTCTAGCTAGAGCAATAAGACAAAAAAAGGAGATCAAGGGGATACAAATTGGAAAAGAAGTCAAACTTTCACTATTTGCTGATGATATATGATAGTATTCATTAAGTGACCTCAAAAATTCTACCAGGAAAGACTCGTAAACTAATAAGCACCTTCAGTAATGTAACAGGATACAAACAAGATCAACTCAAAAATCAGTAGCCTTCCTTTATACAAATGATAAACAGGCTGAAAATGAAATCAGAGAATCATTACCCTTTAAAATAGCCACAAATAACATAAAATATCTTGGGGTAACTTTAACCAAAGACCTGTATGACAAGAACTTTAAATCATTGAGGAAAGAAATCAAAGAAAACAGCAGAAAAATGGGAAGATCTCCCATGTTCTTGGTTAGGTCGGATTAACATAGTAAAAATGGCAATCTTATCAAAAGCAATCTACAAATTCAATGCAATATCCATCAGAATCCCAGCAAAATTCTTCACAGACCTTAAAAGAACAATATTCAACTTCACATGGAAATTTTTTTTAAAAACTCAGAATAGCCAAAACAATCCTGTACAATAAAGAAACTTCTGGAGGTATTACAATCTCTGACTTCAAACTCTAACATAGGGCTATAGTAATGAATCCCAGCACTCCGGAGGTAGAGGCAGGTGGATCTCTGAGTTTGAGACCAGCCTGGTCTACAAGAGCTAGTTCCAGGACAGCTAGGACTATTATACAGAGAAACCCTGTCCTGAAAAAAAAAAAAAAAACAGGTTGGTATTTGGCATAAAAATACACAGGATGACCAATGGAATAGATTCAAACACTTGGATATCAATCCACACACCTACGAACACCTGATAAAAAGAAAGCATCTTCAACAAATGTTGCTGTCATAATTGGATATTGACATGTAGAAGAATGCAAATAGATCCTTATCTATTGCCATGCATAAATCTCAAGTCAAATGGATTAAAGACCTAAAACCAACCACACTGACCCTCATAGAAGAAAAAGTGGGAAGTACACTTAAATGCATTGGCACAAAGATCACTTCCTAAATATACCTCCAGTAGTACAGACACTTAGAACAACAGTTAATAAATGGGACTTCCTGAAACTGAGAAACTTCTGTTTTAAAGCAGAGGACACAGTCAACAAGACAAAACAACAGCCTGCAGAATGGGAAAAAATCTTCATCAACTCCACATCTGACAGCAGGCTGGTCTCCAGAATATACAAAGAACTCAAGAAACTTAGATATCTAAAGAACAAATAATCACCAGGTGGTGATAGCATATGCCTTTAATCCCAGCACTTGTGAGGCAGAGGCAAGCGGATCTCTGTGATTTCAAGGCCAGCCTGTCTACAAGAGCTAATTCCAGGGCAGGCTCCACAGCTACAGAGAAACCCTGTCTCAAAAAAAGAAAAGAAAAGAATGAGGTATAGACCTAAACAGAGACCTCTCAACAGTGAACTCTAATAGCTGAAAGGCACTGAAGGAAATGCTCAACATCCTTCCTTATCCATCAGAGAAATACAAATCAAAACAACTCAGAGATACTATCTTTTTTTTTTTTTATTATGTATACAACATTCTGCCTCGATGTATGCCTGCACGCCAGAGCAGGGCGCCAGATCTCAGTACAGATGGTTGTGAACCACCATGTGGTTGCTGGGAATTGAACTCAGGACCTCTGGAAGAGCAGCCAGTACTCTTAACCTCTGAGCCATCTCTCCAGCCCGAGAGATACTATCTTTAACCTGTCATAATAGTCAATATCAAAAATACTGATGACAGCTTATGCTGGAGAGGATGTGGAGTAAGGGGAACTGTCTGGGACCAGACTCGACAAAAATGCCACTTGCCATGGTGGGAGCATGGGGATCAGGAAAATAAGTAAAGAATAAGAAGAAGTGAATAAAATAAAACAGAAAACCTAGGATCATACTGGGAGGGAGTTCCAGTGAATACTGAAATCACCCATATTTAATTTTCCATACACTTTTATTCCCCAATACAAAATGGGGAAGAAGGAACAAAGACTTCTTTAACATGATACAAAGGACAACTTGAACAGTTAATTGCTTTAACACTTTGAGACATCAAATCATTAGCATTCTGCTGTTTAGGCAGTAAAGCCACCCTAGACCAAGTATCCTGAAGGCAGCCACTCTCCAGATAACCTATTACCAAAGAAGGAGGAGAAGTATGCTTGAATATCCTGACCGTCTGTCAGGATGGAGTGCGTCTACCTGTATGACCATCTTAATGTCAAAGGAACCAAGTAACCACATCCTGAGTAAGGATGTGTAGCCCCAATTGTTGTCATCAAGTTTGTATAACCTCCAAATTCTTTGACCATCCAACAAGGTAGAAATAGGCCCACATTTTTGGGCCTCCACAGGGAACACTTCCCCCATTGCTGGTGGAAATGCAAACTTGTACAGCTGCTTTGGAAATCAGTATGGTGATTTCTCAGGAAATTAGTGCTCAAATCTATCTCAAGGTCTAGCAATACCACTCTTGGGCATATACCCAAAGAATGCTCAATCATACCACAAGGACATTTGCTCAACTATGTTCATAGCAGCATTATTTGTAATAGCCAGAACCTGGAAACAACCTAGGTGCCCCTCAACTGAAGAATGGATAAGGAAAAATGTACATTTACACATTTACTCCGTGGTAAAAGGCAGTGACATCTTGAAATTTTCAAGCAAATGGACAGAACTAGGAAAAAAAAAATATACTGAGTAACCCAGACCCAGAAAGACAAATGTAATGTGTGTTTACTCTTAAGGGGCTTCTAGACATAAAGCAAAGAATAACTAGCCTACAGTCTACAATCCTAGAGAACCTAGACAAACAGAGAAGACCCTAAGAGAGACATTCATGGATTTGCCAAGGAAGGAGAAAGAGACAGGATCCCCTAAGTAAATTGGGAGCGTGGGGGTCAGAGGGAAGGATGGAAGGGGAGAGAGGAGGAAGGAAAGGAAGTGGAGAGAAATGTATAGCTCAAATTAAAAACAGATACAATTTTTAAAAATGGCTATGCAGAATATTAAATGCAGTTTTGACATGATGGCAAAAAGTGTAAATATTTGCAATTTTTTAAGAATAACTTTTAAAGTGAGTCTATGCTGTTTTGTTATACATATTTTCTCACTATTCTGGTTAATAAAAGTCAAAATTTGCCTGGGGAGGGTAACTATTCACTTACATTATTTGATTCTTCAACTTCTCCTGTTTATCTGAATCAGCAGATGTAGGGCCATGTATTATACAGACCCATATGTCTACATTGTATGGCTGCCAGACTCTCAGGCCATAGTTTGCACCTGGCCTCACAGAAGGCGGTCACCTAGCCTTTCCAGAAAACCTAACAAAGGATCAGGATATGCTGATGTTATTCTGCTCCTTTGTGATTTGGAGGATGCTTGGAAAAGAGATGTTAATTCAGCCTACATGACAGAGCTGGCATACAGAGAGGAAGATAGGAAGATGTGACACAGAGGGCATAGAAAGGTGTGAGCATGACTAAAGCCATTCACCTAGTTACCTAGGAAACAGAATGCTAATGAATTTACCCTCAGTTTACGTTTTGATATAAAACCTTTTTGGAGAATAAACGAGGGTGAATTTTCAGGATGTGAACTCAGGACTTCATGAGGGATCACTGAGAGTCTCCCTCCCGATAAAGCCATGTGAGTTGTATCTTTATTCCCACGCCTCCCCTATGGTCCGGGCTGGTACCAGACCCCGACAAGTAGAATTAACAGAAAGATCCAAACCAAACCAGGATCCTCCTATCCAGGCTGATACAGGCTGTCTTAAACATGTGACCTCTTTATGGGAAAAGTCACGCCCAACAGTTAAAGAATTCACACCGATTTGTTGTTGCTTGAAAATTAATTGCTTCATGTTGTTTGTTCAGATGTATAGTTTATTAAAGCCTGAATTTGAATTCGATTTTCATGTGTCAGGAGACCAGTCACTTAAGAAATGAGCCTTCCTCTGGTTATGTATAATCATTATGTTTGCATTATACGAAGCTGTGTGTAAAGGGGAGATCTTTTTTATCTTGTGTTGTATCATAGTGGTACTCCAAGATTTGATTAACAAAGACAGCTCAGACTCTTCACTGTCATTTTCAACCATTGCCATTTCATCTACTAATGTGATGTGACCAGCTTTTCCCATTTTAAACCAGATAAATTAGTTTGAAATTTTTCATTTTGTTATCTGTTGAGCTGACCTCATTCTTCTTTTTAATATGTGAATTCACTGTGTTCCAGAGTTTAGTTTAAATGGAAACAAAACTAAATTCTTATTTTTATAATTTATCTGGAGAAAAATTGTAAATACGATTAGAAAACAATAGTTAATGCCCACTGCTTACTTACCAGGATTTTTGAGAATTGGTATGTAATCAGTCTATAATAAATAGAATTTATTACATGAAAAAATAGATTTCTTAGTACAGTTTAAATAGTTTCTCCATTTTTGCTCAATCTTTATTTAGAGCAGAAATAATAAAATCATCAAATAATAAATCAAGGATTTTTTTTAAATCTGTGTTCTTATTTTCAGGGCTGTGGGTCACAAAGTTTTTGGAAGTCTTTACCGGGAACAGATTCTAGAGAAGCTCCGGAAGTCAGCAGAGCAGTGTGACTGTTTGCAGTGTTTCTTCATCATACACTCCATGGGAGGAGGTAGGAGTCATTCATTTGCCTGTAAGGAAGTTACATGTGACTGGGAATTCATTTTGCAAACATCAGTCTTATTTTTAGACCTGATGCCTGCAACTGAGCAGGCAGGCATGTCCAGCCTTTTCACACTGAGACACAGTATCAACTAGAAGCTTCATGCACAAGCATCATGTACAGAAAAACAACCTCATAATGCTTCACATATTGTGTTGGGCCACATTCATAGCTAGCCTAGAGTACATATGACCCATGATGTAGACTGGTTTACCTGATAGGTATATGTATGCTGCAGTGTTTGTATATTTCATCTTAAAAGTTTGTGAAGTTGGGGCTAAGATAGCATGAGGACCTGAGTTTGAGCCTCAGAACCCACATAAAAAGGCTGGCTGTGGAGGCTCATGCTTATAATTTCAGGGAGCAAGAGACAGATGGGCCCCTGGGGTTCGCTGGACAACCAGCTCCAAGTCAGTGGGAGACTGTCTCAAGCAAAGTAGTGGATGGCACTTGGATAATACCTGGTATTGTCTTTTGGCCTCCATATGTATACATATCTGCAGTGCATGAGCAAACACACAAAGAAGCATGTACACACACATAAAACATTGTGAGAATCTCACTGTGAGCCTATTTTTCTCTTTTGAATTTTGAATTTTTTTTCACTTTTAGATTCTCTTGTAATATTTCAAACACACTCCAGCAGGCATGCTCTTTGGAGAAATACTTCTTTGTTCCTATATCTCAAGTGGAGTTGACCTTTTCTGGCATGTACTTATGTGGCTTGCCATTATGAGGATACTAATAACTCTTTTATTAACCACCTTCAAACCTTCCCACACCTCCCTCCAATAAGAAAACTGAAGATAAAAGAAATGACTTCAGTCAGTTCCTTAAAGAGCACCCATTTCACAGTTGTAACTGCTGAGCTTGAAGCATGGTCTGCATTGCTTTGTGTTCCCAGATGAGTCTCTAGTTTGGAATGGAAGTGTTTTACTCTCCTGTTCATTAAACAGAAACAAGATTAGTGTGCTAATTTTAAAATGGTAATTAACAAGGTTTGGAAGGAAAAATTAACATCCTTTTCTTCCTACACTGAGATTAAGATTTTACATTCTGAAGCTTGCAAAAATGGCATTGTCATATACAGTGTTCCCAGTGAAGAACAGGGTAGTTATAAAAAGCGGGGGAGGGCAGGCCCAAAGCCCACATGATACACCCACCTGGGAGTTTTGGCTCCACATTTTAACGTAATAAATTACACATATGTATAAACACCATTCAGAAAAGTACTTATCATTTACATTAGACACATTGCTACTTTCTCCTGTTTCAACTTAAAAAAACACTCTAACTTTATCACTAAGTATCATAGAAATAAGTTATATAATCCACTTTTTTCCTTTAAGTCCTTAAAATTTTCTAAATTTGTATAAATGTGACTTTAAACATTAAAGTTATTAATGAGATTTCCAGGGTTTCTTCATTTAAATGAGCATTGGGAACATGTTGTGTGAAACTTTGTAAACAAATGAACATATTTTATTGGGTGTTTGAAGTTTCTTGATGACGTGATAGTTTTCTGTGTCATTGAGACAATATGTATCTTGAGACCAAAGTGTTGTGCCCAGATTACGACCCCCAGAGAGAGACCACCAGAGAGGCCCAGACTGTAATAAGCAAGGTTAATTAGCATAATACAAACATGTTTGGAACCCATCTCTGACCCCGCTGCAGTGAGGTAGAGAGGAGTCATATCTCCTCTGTGGGATAAGCTTTAAAAGGCATAACTACAAAGAGGCTTTTTGAAGCTGCTTTGGCACGGGTGCAAGGTCTTTTGCTCCCTCCCATCCTGCTAAGTCAGCTTCTCCTTGTTCTTAGAGCAAGGCCATCTTTATCAGCCTGTACCAGGTGGCTGGCTGGGCTAAGTGACCTTGTGCTTGGAAATCTCCCAGGTGGGAGAGGGGAAGGCCACCATCTTCCTGGGAAAACATTCTGCTAGGAAATTTCTTCTCGCCCCTTTGAGAATAAGGGGTGAGGATCCTACAAAGGCTGTCAATTTTGTTTTTATTTTTTAAGTTGCTTTTATCAGGAATACTGGATGCTCTTTTAGTTGAATTTTTCATAGTTCAGTTTATTTGTAATCTAATAACTTAAATACAAAAGAAGATTAGAGAAAGCCACCCCAGACTCATGCTCAGAACCTGAGATGGAATTCTTCATCTGAGCCTTGGCAGCCTTGCCTGTGCTCTCTGAGTCCTTCAGAATTAGACTTCAAACTGTTTGTGTTGTTTGTTGTTTTCCTCTTAAAATGTTGCTTCTCAGGAACAGGATCTGGACTTGGCACGTTTCTGCTAAAGGTGCTCGAAGATGAATTCCCAGAAGTGTACAGATTTGTGACAGCAGTTTATCCTTCCAGCGAGGACGATGTCATCACTTCGCCTTACAACAGCATGCTGGCCATGAAGGAACTGAATGAGCATGCTGACTGTGTGCTGCCCATTGACAACCAAGTAAGAAATGGTACTGGACTCCGAACATACTTTATATTCATTCAATTCCGTGTTATATACATGCATTGTGTTTGTTCGGTATTCTCTTCAGTTTTTAGCCTTCTCTGTCTAAGAGAAAGAATAAGTTTGAATTGTTTTTCTTTTCTTGCCTAGTAAAATGCCATCTAAGTCATTCACTAGTAGTTTCTCACCTAATATTATTTTTTTCTCAAGTCTTTATTTGACATCATTAGCAAAATTGATCTTGTAACTTCTGGCAAGTTGGGTGCAGCTGTGAAGCCTAAGAGTCTAGTTACCACAAATGTGGGGACCGTTACAAAGTGCCCCAAGAAGCCTTTTGATGCAATGAACAACATTGTGGCCAATCTGCTCCTCAGCCTGACAAGGTAACCCACTCAGGATGCTGGCAAAGTCACTGTGCCTTTGCAATGTTTACATTTAGTGGTGTTTTATTCTTTTGTTTGATTTGGGGGCACTGTTAAATCCAGTTCTTGAATGTGTTGAAACAAGCAGTGAACCACTAAGCTACAGGCCCAGCCCAGTTGTGTTTATTTGGTTGTTCTAAGTTGTAGGAGCTTCTTTTATTGTTTTTCTGTCCAGATTTGTCTGACATGTTTTTATTAGTTCTATGAGAATTTCTTACAACAAAATTTGGTCATACTAACCCTCCTAACCCTTCTCCTGCCCAACTTGGTGTCCAATTTTTGTTCCCATCAAGGCCAATTTTTGCTACTCATTTTGTATTGTTTTCATGTGTTAGAGTAATAAGCCATCATTTCTCCAAGATTGGTACTTGGAACACTAGTGGGAGTTCCATGCTCAGCAGCCTCATGGTAGACATGCTGCCACTGCTATAAACCAGCTAATCTATACATCTTTGTCATTGGAGACAAAACATTTCCATGTCTTGGGTCTCAAATCTCTCAAGCAGTTAAGATTATGATTTTATGATTATGAGTATATTAATCAAACCCTTAATAAATATAGTAAAATTTCCACATTAAGCAATGGTCCTGTAGGTGTTGAACTCATCGTGTCTGTTTAAATAAGATACTTTTGCTTGTATAATGAACAAATATAATAGGTGTTGCTTGCACATTAGAAATCTGGAAATAAGAATTGCTAAAAAGGAATATGAGAAGATAATCTGCTGAATTATGGTTTTTAAATGAAAACATTTCTCATTGTTCTAATATTGGCCTTTTAGCTCTGCAAGATTTGAGGGATCCCTTAATATGGACCTGAATGAGATCAGCATGAACTTGGTTCCTTTCCCTCAACTTCATTATCTTGTGTCAAGCCTTACACCTCTGTATACTCTGGCAGATGTGAACATTCCCCCTCGAAGGTAAGGTAGAACTGGCTTACATTTTCCTGAGAACTTGAAGTGAAATTTCAGCTAAAAAAAGTTTATATTAACTCAGATTATTTATATCATTTTTTTGGTGAGAATCATATAAAATGTAGTTAGTGAAGTCATTTTTATTAGGCAAATATTTATTTAGAAGTAAATTGTTTTAAAACGTAGTATTAAACTGAAGCTAAACCTGATAACTAAATTTTTTGACTTTTGAAAATTAATAGAATCTGGCAGGCTTGAATCCTGATTCTGTTGCTAGTTGTAGGATCTTGGGCAAATGTCTTAAATTCCTCATCTTACTGTTTGTGGGGTAGATGAAATGGTATCTTAACCATAGCCAAGCACCATAGAAGGCTTTATATGTATTGCATATTATTTTCAGACCACCTTGAATATGTTTTCAGGGCCAGACTTGCCTTTAATCCCAGCTCTCAGGAGGTAGAGATAGGCAAATCTCTTATGAGTTTGAGGCCAGCCTGGTCTACATTGCAAGTAGCATGCCAGATCCACATTGTGAGATCCTGTCTTAAAAAAAAAAAAAATGTTTTTAGGCTGGCGAGGTTGTACACACCTGTAATACTAGCACTTGGGGGCCAGGCCAGTCTGAGATACACAGTGAGACTATCTCAAAAAATTACAAAAAACAAAGTAGCTCTGTAGTAATAAGAGCGACGGCGGGGCTGCGTCCCCAACACCCCAGCCGCCTGCTAGCTTATGCCCGAAATAACAACACACAAACTGTATTCATTTAAACACTGCTTGGCCCATTTCTATCTAGCCTCTTCTAGGCTAACTCTCGCACCTGGACTAGCCCATTTCTAATATTCTATGTAGCACAGCTAGGTGCGCTTACCGGGAAGATTCTAGCCTAAGTCCATCCTGGGTCGGAGCTTCATCGCGTGTGTCTGCCCAGGAGCCGGGAGCATGGCGTCTCTCTGAGGCGTCTGCCCCCGAGAGGAGAGCTGTCGAGTCTCTCAGCTCACTTCCTCTTCCTCCCAGCATTCTGTTCTGTTTACTCCACCCAGCTATGTTCTAAGCTATGAGCCCAAGCAGTTTGTTTATTACTTAACCAATGAAATCAACAGATTGATATATGACACTCCCACATCATAGCTGGGATGTTGCTCAGTTAGTAGAGTGCTGCCTAGCATTCATGCAGCCCTGGGAACCCCCAGAACCCACATGATGGCTCATAGCTTTCTGTAGCTCCAGTTCCAGGGGTTCTGGCTCCTCTTCTGGTCTCCAGGATCACCAGGCATGCCTGTGTGGTGCAGACACACGGCTTAGACAGATAACATATGGATGAATGAATGGATGAATGGATGAATGAATGGATGGATGAGTTTTTTAAAAAGAAAGGATGTTTTTAGCTTATACAGTGATAATGAGCTTCAAAGGCTCACACTGGTATTTGCTGTGAGAGACTATAAATGAGAGAGAAATTAAAAATACTTTTATTACTATCTTTATTACATTTTTAAATTTTTATTTTGTGTGTGCCATGGTGTGTTTGAGGAACAGAAAACACCTTGTTGTATTCAGTTCCCTCCATCATGGGGTCCTGGGAATTGAATCCAGGTTGCCGGGCTTGACAGCAAGCACCTGCTGAGCCATCTTGTGGGCCCAAAGGGTTGTTTTGTTGTTGTTTTAAGATTTTTTTTTTAATTAAGTGTATGTTGTGAGTGTGTATGTGAGCGTGAGTGCAGGTGCCTACAGATCCCCTGGAGGGGTGCTGCTCTCTGTGGGTACTGGGACTTGAACTCGGCCCTCTGCAGAACAATGCACACTCCTAACCATGGAGCTGTCTCGCTAGCCCTCAGAAATCTCTTTTTACAATTAAAGTTTTGGTAACAGTTCTATACTTCAGGAATATTACAAGTGATGCTAATAAACTTTATGTTAGCAAAAGGGCCGTTGGCGCCAGCTAGTATCTGCCAGGGATCCCATAATGATCTCAGCAGGGGAAGCGGTGTGTGGTGTATGGGTCGTGATCGCTGATTGGTCACTGCACATCAGCACATCCTGGTTAACGTGGACATCGAATGAATACTGGTAGTAAACTTTTTTTCTCCCATTTTTTTTGAGGCAGGATTTCTCTTTGTGGTTCTGACTGTCCTGGAAACTCTTGCTCTGTAGACCAGGCTGACCTCTGCCTCCTGAGTGCTGGGATTATTAGATACGTGCTACCACGCCCAACAGTAGTAAACTAGTATTAAGTGAATTTTTTATATTTAAAGTTAATCTTTATTTCTAAGTTCAGCATAATGAAAAAGGAATGTGTTTGACTTGATCCTCTAATTTAAATATTTCAAAGTCAGTGAACTATTCTGTAATCTGCTTGGTATATTTTGATATAAATAATACTTGCATCAACATTTTAACTTTAATTGTGATAGTTTGTGGTAATTAATGTTTATTAAAGTTTTAGTAAAAATCCACAAGGACCTTTTAAAATGTTATACTAATTTGTCATGGTGTCCCTTTCTGTTGTTAGGCTTTAATGGGTTTATTTTCTTTGTTTCTGACATCTGCACTACGATAGGTAACCAGGAGCTGCCATACCAGTGTATGTTTTCATTCTGTGGTTATATTTAGAAGAAAGAGACACATTTTGTGTAAACAGTGGTTCTTTCCTGTTGTAGATTGGACCAGATGTTTTCAGATGCCTTTAGTAAAGACCACCAGCTCATCCAAGCAGACCCCAGACATAGTCTCTACCTCGCCTGTGCCCTCATCGTTAGAGGAAATGTGCAGATTTCAGATCTTCGCAGAAATATTGAAAGGTTTGGTTTTTATTTTTAAGATAATTGACGTGTACAGGTTGGGGCAGTGTAGTGCATAGTTAAGAAAGCCAAGGTTGAAATTATAGTAAAATGTGGCTCTTTAAGTACAGAGCCTCATTTTTGTCAGCACTAAGGGAGACATGAGGTGCTTCTTCATACTGCAGCTTTGTTTGTGTGTTTCATTTTTAAAGCAATCTTATTTTACATACCAGTCCCAGTTCCCTCTCCCTTCTGTCCTCCTCCCCCCACCTTTTCTCCACCCCATCCCTCATACATTCCTCAGAGAGGGTGAGGCTTCCCGTGGGGAGTCAAGAAAGTCTGTCACATCACATAAGGCAGGACCTAGCCCCTCCCCTCTGTATCTAGACTGAACAAGGTATTCCTCCATAGGGAATGGGCTCCAGAGAGCCAACTCATGCACTAGGGATAAATACTGGTTCCACTGCTAGTAGCCCCATAAACTGCCCAAGCTACACAACTGTCACTCACGTTCAGAGGGCTTAGTTCAGTTCTCTGCAGGTTCCCCAGCTGTCACTCCAGAATCAGTAAGCTCCCACGAGCTCAAGTCAGCCCTTTCTGTGGGTTTCCTTTTCATGACTTTGAGCCCTTTGCTCGTAATATAGCTCCTCACTCTCTATGGCTAGACTCCAGGAGTTTGGCCCAGTGCTTAGCTGTGAGTCTCTGCATCTGCTTCCATCAGTTACTGAATGAAGGTTCTAGGTGCTGCCAGTTTTGAAGACAGATGGCAGATTACAAACAACATAGCTAGACCTATGATTCTGCTGATGTCTTGTTTGCTTATGTGGACTAAGCTGCTGCAATGTCCTTCTTTGTACCTTAGTTCTTACCTTAGAATTTTTGTATTTCAGGTTGAAACCTGCTCTGCATTTTGTCTCCTGGAATCAAGAAGGCTGGAAGACTAGCCTGTGTTCAGTGCCCCCTGTGGGTCACTCCCATTCATTATTAGCTTTAGCAAACAACACGTGTGTGAAGCCCACCTTCATGGAACTGAGAGAAAGGTTCATGAGGCTCTACAAGAAAAAGGTAATTTCACACCTTGTAACTGCACTCACTTTGGCAGAGATGATTGGAAGTCAGGGCTAATAAAGCAACTGCCTTGGCCCATTTGATAGGCCAGCCTTTAGGTGGGTGGAGTAAACAGAACAGAATGCTGGGAGGAAGAGGAAGTGAGCTAAGATGCCATGCTGCTGCTCCCCAGGGCAGGCGCGATGAAGCTCCGACCCAGGATGGACGTAGGGTAGAATCTTCCTGGTAAGTGCACCTCGTGGTACTACACACATTAATAGAAATGGGCCAAGGCAGTTTCTTTATTAGCCAATGACCTTCCTCTATCAGTGGGGCCTCATGAGACCCTCCCCAGTCCATGTCACACTCTTGGCAGGCTCGGTCTTATGTAGGTAACCACACTTACCACGAGTCGAGGAGCACAGTGGCCATGTCTAGAACCTAAGCTCACAATGCTCTTTCCCATATTCTGGCATATAGTCTTTCTGCACTATCCTCTACAGTGTGCCCTGAGCCTTGGTGAGGCTGGGGTGTGGGAGGAAGGGATTCTGTAGATGTCCATTTATAGCTAAGTACTCAATACTCAGTTATTCTCTGCATTTTGACTAGTCTCTGCCCTATCCACTATCCACTGGAAGGAAAAAGAAAGCCTTTATGACCAATATTGAGAGCAGCACTATTCTATGAATATGAATATAAATATAAATGGACAGATTTTCAACATGTCCATTTAGCAAACCAATGACAAAAGATTGTCCCTTATATCATGTGACTTCCTGAGTCTTGGACTTTTGTTCTGGGTTACAGCTCCAATGGAGGGGCCTCAAATCCAATCACAAATGGGTTGGCCAACCCCATCATCACCCATGCCACTCTTGTGCAGTGGACACAGCTTTAGGCAAAATATTTGACTTAAGTTCCTGCTTCCAGATTAGAGCTGAATGTTCTATGCATTTAAAATGCATTTAATCTTTCACTATTTCCTACATACATAGTATCTACTTTGATTATACTTCCTGTGATTCTCTCCTCTTCCCTTCCAGCTGAACCCCTTCTGCTTCTCAACCTCCCTCCTACCTTCAAGTATTTGTATGTGTATTCCTCCACTGTAATTTATTAGGGTTCCTTGAATGAATGTGGAGGGCTTTTACTTAAGCAAGGCTTTTACAAGTGGGTTTACCACTGAGAACTGCCTCACCCCTTCCTCAGCAACTGCTTAGAGCTCCCAAGGAGGAATGGGTGAATGACAGAATTTTAACAGTGTTTGTTTTATGGGGCAGTTGTATGTCTTAAGTTCCTGAGTTGGTAATGTTGTCTCTTTTCGATTGCAGGCTCACCTCCATCACTATCTTCAAGTTGACGGGATGGAGGAGTGTGCTTTTGCAGAAGCTGTGTCCTCTCTGTCGGCTCTCATTCAGGAGTATAATGAACTTGATGCCACAAAGAGCATGCCTGTGCTGGATGTGCCTCGGCTAAGCGTGGCCTTGTGATGGTGTGTGGGATCACTTGTAGCAATTTGTGGTACACCATGTAATCCAGTGTGTTCAGGACCAGCCTGGGCTGCGCAGTGAGAGCCGATGGAGAGGGAAAGAGTGCTTCTTCATCGCCTTTCTTTCCCCATCGCTTCCTCACTCTGGTGAAAGCCTCAGGAAAGACTGGACATATCTTTTCTGTGTTATCTTTATCTTTCGTGCTCTGTTTAAATGCTTGGGAAAGCAGGTCCTAGGAATGGAAGAACAGCGTGTGTCATGTTTGGACTTTTAGGGGAGTCTTTATTAAAACTGATAAGCCTTTGTTCTGTTGAGTAGAAACATGCCTATACTCAAGAGAATCACAGCTTAGACATACAGTCACTGCTGAAATGGTTTGAAAGCAGATGTCCAACAGTGCTACTTATAATGTCACTGTTTGCACACTGAGCAGAACACTGCTGAACTTGGTATCTTCATCTGAGTTCCGTAGTAAGTGGTCATTATTTACTGAAATGATTCCAGTCTCCATAATATTTTGAATCTTTAATATCGATTTTAGTTGCATTTATATTTCAGATCCATTGTTTGGTTTATCCTTCAAGGAAAAAATCTGGGGGGAAAAATTCTTTTCAAGAAAAACTAATCTGTTGTATGCTTTGTTTATTAATAGTTTATGTTTCTTCCCTTTGCTAAGTAATTGTTATATTTTTGGCTTTTATATTGATAGTTTAGATTTTTTTATAGTATTTGGTATAAAAGCTGCAGTATTACAGTTATTAGCAGTAGTCCCAGACATTCCATTTTCTCCTTCCTATAAGCATCTTAGCTGATATTCAGAACACGACAATGAATATTATAGATACATTTGTAGTATCTTATTTTTAAGAATTTTCCCTTTGATATCATGTTATAAGATATGATAGACTGCATTGCCAGGTACAGAATAAAATTTTAAATTATATCTTTTTGCCGGGCGGTGGTGGCGCACGCCTTTAATCCCAGCACTCGGGAGGCAGAGGCAGGCGGATCTCTGTGAGTTCGAGGCCAGCCTGGTCTACAAGAGCTAGTTCCAGGACAGGAACCAAAAGCTACGGAGAAACCCTGTCTCGAAAAATCAATCAAAAAAAATAAATAAATAAATAAATTATATCTTTTTATATTTATATAAAATTTTTCTTGTAAATTGTACTTTATATTATATATTAAATCCTTATATGGTACATGTATGTACATATTACATAATTATAGATATCCTCTAGAAATGAGTTATTTAAATTTTTTCAGGCATTCCTTTTTGTTTTAGAATATTTTTTAGAAACTTATTGTCAGAAATAAAGCAACCAAAAATAACTAGTGGCTCTTTCTGCTTTAAATCCATTAGATAAATGTTTCATCCTTTTATGGCACTTGATTGTATGACTGAATGACTTAGCCTTAAACTTTCCTCCCTATATTTGGCTCTATAGAATCCTGAGCTCAGAAAACATATCTCCTGGTTCTCTGCAGTCTCTCTGGCACACACAAGATGTGACCCAGAGCATTCGCCACTGAAAGGACCCTTCCCTGGGGCAGTCGAACCGAACAGTGATCATCTTAGACTTGTTGGGGACGCAGCATCTCTTGTCCAGGCATATTCCACAAAAAGTCGGTCTGTAACTCTGAGTACTTGAGCAACCAGAAAAAACGAATTTCTCAGCTTTGGAGAGTTGGAAAGTGGGTTGACATGTTTTTCCTCTGGGGATCTGAAAAGGTGAATGAAGTTAAGAGGTCATTCTTTAAATTTGACTACAGTAACAAGGATTTTATAGCAGATACTAGATGAGTTATTTCTTGGGCATTACTAGTAGTTGTTTGTGCCATCTAGGACCCTCTTCTCTGAAATACCCTTGCCCCATCATGTTTTCAGACGCCCTGGTGTTTCTCGTTCTGTCTTTTATTCAGTTGTACAATAAATGAAAACTTATTTGTTTAGTTACATTTAAAGAGCTGTGTCTTATTAAATGTCACTTACCAAAGGCTTAGCAAATTCTCTAATACATATCACTCAGTTTGGGTGGGTGAATAAATGTATGAATATCTTTTGTTAATTTTAAAGACTTATTTATTTCTAGTTTATATTTATGGCTGTCTTATCTGCATGTATATCTGTGCCCCACTTGTGTACCTGGAACTAGAGTTACAGAGGGTTGTGAGCCTGCATGAGTGTGCTAAAAATCCAATACGGGTCCTCTGAAAGAGCAGTCCATGTTAACTGCTGAGCCATCTCTCCAGCCACCTTTAAAGCTGAGGTATCAACTTGATAATACAATAGGGACTACGTTGAGTATAACACAGTTTATATCATTTCTAAAAATTAGTCTTTTCTATGTGCGCTTAAGAGCATACACAAAAATAAATTTAAAAAATCAATCCATTAAGACAATTCTCTTGCAGCACCAGGCGTGGTGTCGCATCCCTTTAATCCCAGCACTCTGGAGGCAGAGGCAGCTAAGATCTCTGAGTTTGAGGCCAACCTGGGCAACATAGTCAGTCCCAGGACAATATAGAGACCCTGTCTCCAAAAAAAAACAAATAAAAAGATAATACTCCTGCTTCAATCAAGAGGTAGTACCAGCCCTGCTACTTTATGCCGGTTGTAGGACAGCGGGGCCTTTGGCAAGTTTACTCTAACATGCACAGAGCATTTTGGTGTGGCCCTCCAAAGCAGCAGTCATGTGTAACTGTAAGCAGAACTGCTTTCATGCTATGCTATAACAACTGGAATTTTATGTTTAATACTTTGGTTACACTTCTATAATTAGGATGAACAAGAAAATAGAGAAACCCTGCCTCAGAAAACCAAACAAAGAATAGGGGTCTTGAGCAGCCCAGTGTCTTGTAACCTCCCAGGCATACCGTTCCTTCAGAGTAGATATCTCCTGGAACCCTCCACACATACCGTTCCTTCAGAGAAGACATCTCTTGGATTCTGTGTGGCCCGATCTGTCCCAGAATTCACTCTGTAGACCAGGCTGGCTTCAACTCAGAGATCCGCCTGCCTCTGTTTCCTGAGTGCTGGGATTAAAGGCTCGCACCACCACTACCCAACAAGCCCTACTTCACTAAACTGAACACCTACAATCCCACTACTATATACAATTTTCCCTGTAGAGTCGAGCTAGGTCAACACCTGTTGTCTTCTGAGATAATTTGACTTAAGAGTCAGTCACAGTGAGGTGGTTTTGTTTGATGAGATTCAAACACTATCCCTCCCTCCAGAATACACACACCTTACTTACTTTTCAGGAACTTAACACAAGCATAATTCACTTAAGTCTGGTTGCACTGTACCTTCACTGTCTTGGCTATGTTACTGTTGCAGGGCTGGATATAGCATAGCCTCTTCTCTCTTCTCATTTCACAGTTGCTGTTTTCATTGGTTACCCTGTTAGAAATTCCCATTCCACACGTTCTGGAGCAGGGAGTCCACTTCGTTGCTTGCACAAGGCACTTCTTTTTCCAAGTAAGCGGGAGGTTCCTGTAAGCTAACATAAATGGGAGACTGTCTATGTGTGCACATACGTACTTACCCTGGACTTAATTTTTAAACATAAAGTCGGCAGGTATCTAAAAGTTCTAAGGCTTTTTGCATGAAAGGATAAACGCTTATGTTCTAAGTCATCCTTCCCTTCCTGGTACCTACGTTTCCTCTCTCCGTCAAGTGTGGCCATGTACTTTCCTAGGGAATAGACTCATCTTCACCCACTGACATCATTCTGCCCATCCATCCTCGAGGATTAGACTGCTTCCGATTGATATCTGTCTTTTGTTAGCTCTTGCCTGATATTTCCAACAGATACCAAAGTGAACGTTGGTAGGATTAGGGAATTCAGGACAGTAATCAGAATAGTGTGGGTTTTCTTTCCTTGAGACCTGGTTTTGCTATGCAGCTCAGACTACCTGCTTACTGGCTCGCAGTCCTGCCTTCCAAGCCTTAGGAATACAGGCACCATGCCTATATCACCATGGCTGGTGTAATATTATGTATGATCTTAGTATTTAAATTTCATGATATGTTCAAGATCTAAAATAAAATATTTAAGAATGAGACAAAATCAGTTCTCTTCCACTTTAAATCTACTCTTAGAAAACTGTAGTCAAGGTGAGACGCACAGGCCTCCGTGTGCCTGTGGAGGTCGAGACAACTCCGTGTCATCAATTCTGTCCTTTTCCCGTTATGCAGGGCTCAAATTAAGGTCACCAGGCTTGCACAGCAAGTCTCACCTGTCCATCATGGGAATTTATAACAAACAACACTGCACTAAATTAATCTTATATACTAAATCATCGCACATGTTGATCTCACCCAACTTGTCTCATTCCCTGTTCCCAGGCCCACAGTAAGCTCTATAAGTTAGCCACTTGAAATCACCTATGAAATACTTAGGGAATGCAACTGTGGATGAATTACAAGTGGAGAAATGAAACTTCTCTACTGTCTGCTGTGTAGAAGAAACAGGAAAAAAGATAATTCTTCCATAATAATTCTCCATGAAAAACCATTAGGAGATTGTTACTGTTCTCCAGTGACGCAGACCCTTGGTTCATAGTAAACACAGGTTTGTTACTTCCAGGCATTTCTCTAATGTACATCCTACAATTGATACTTTGGGAGGAAAGTGGTGATTTGAGCCCAAAGTTATATAGCACAGTTCTACTTTGAGAATATCAACTTAAAGGTGAGGGGAGGGGATTTTAAAAAAGAAAAACTACCCTCAGTTCAGTGTAACAGTGAGCAACAGAAGTGGAAACAGAGATACCCGGAGGCAGACAACAGTTAAAGCCCTCACTACAGGAAGCAGATTAGCCTGATACATCTGCAATAGGTAAAGGTATCTTAGACCACTGCATTGCTGATAACCCTGCTTACAGATAAACCAAGGCCTGCAGTTTAGGAATTTGTTCAACATTCATTAAAAAGAAAAGAAATTATGAGATTAATAAAACAAAAGTTTAGTGTTTATGAGCACTGAGAGAAACGAGGGATGATGTCATTGCTTGCTTTGTACTGGCCTGGCAAACGATAGATTCCAGCAATAGACTGTATTAATTATTATCACACATACGATTCCAGCAATAGACTGTATTAGCTATTATCACACATACGATTCCAGCAATAGACCGTATTAGTTATCACACATCTGATTCCAGCAATAGACTGTATTACTTATTATCACACATACATGTTTAAGGCATAAGCTCTCACTGACATTCACTGTGAAAGCCAAATTCCCATGTAGTCAGAAACACGTTTTTACGAGTAACCAAAGGCAAGTCATGGCAGACTTAGTATACCTTTAAAACAGAGACGTCTCACTTCTTTGTAGCTCACCATTTGGGAGTTCGTGGGAACATGAGTAATGCCATGCTGTTAGCTGAGTGATCATGTGGACAACCTGGAAATTGTCTGTCTAACTAACTCACACAACCAGAATCCTGGAGGAAGTTTTTGTTCATTGCATCTTTAAATATCTAAAACGCAGAATAATTTTCACTAACAACATAATGAAGGTAGCCCCAGAGGAACTCCTGTCTGGAAAATTCTCCAGCGTATGAGTAGGACATCATTTACGCCTGCAGCCACCTCGTGTTCAAGATAAGCACTGAGGAGTCTCGCTTTGCAGCCTGACTACCGTAGAGGGCTTTAAAGTGAAGGAGACGGGAGCCCTTGTCAGTTTTGAAAATAATGTTTTGAACCTCAAAATGTGTTAGTCCTCAAGAAAAAAAAAAAAGCTTTTTAAATCAACTTTCCATTTCTGCCAGTACCATATGAAAAACTTTGAAAATGCAGGAACTGGATGGTCAAACTTCTTGCCCATAATTACAAATGAAAGGTTTTTAGGGTACATGTGAACAGAATTTGTTTAGTGTTCCTAAGGTGTTGGGGAATCTGGGAGGTTTTAAAAATCAGACCCTTTTATTCTCAAAACCAAAATATGAAGTTTCCCAACACTTGGAATATCTACCTGAAGCAAACACTACACAGGTACACACACTGTAAATCTCTAAGCATCAGCCTGTGAGTTCTTACTGGCTGGAATCAGGAAAGAACCACAGAAAGTCATCCCTGCTGAGGTCACCTGCTGCTGCAATATAGCCTGCAGAGCACCCGCCCTGTGCCTGTGGTCCTGGCCTATGGTTTTGAGGATCACCTGGCACTGCTCTGTAGCCTGCAGGGTGTCCCATGACTGTGGCCCTGGGCTACAGTTTTGAGGCTCACCTGGTCCTACTCTGTAGCCACAGGCATCCTGTGTCTGGGCTACGGTTTTGAGGCTCACCTGGCACTGCTCTGTAGCCTGCAGAGCGCCCTTGTTGCGATGGTCCCAGGCCACAGTTGGTTGTACCAGCTCTCCTTACACTTTCAGCTTCAGAACAGTTGCTGCCAGCCAGCCTGGGTATGAACAGGGGCGTGCATCCAATTGCACCGCCCACACAGAGGCAACTGAACAGTGGGTGGGGCTGAAATACTTGGCCATTCTGATAATGGACCCTGTTGAACTCACATCCAACAGCCACAAGATCTGGAAAACAACAACAGCAGCAGCAGCAGATTGTCAACATAA